GTTAGTTAGCGTAAAAAGCATATTTTGTGTGAATAGTTCAGCGCTTGAGATTTCACAAGTTTTTATTCCAACTTTTTAAAAATGGACTCGGTGCCGAGTACTCGGACTCGGACCAGGTTTTTTCAGCCGGGTTCCCGGAATCGGAGACTCGGCATTAACTGGTTCCGGCACATCTCTAGCAAATATGTTAATTACTTACCAATTTTAATCAAACAACTTTTAAAATCCAGATACTATTTGGGGTTAAAATATAATATTTTAAAAAGCGCAATATTTTATGTAAATGTTATTAATTTCCATTGATTTTTTAAACAACATTTTTCTCTTTATAGTTTTTTGTTTTCTAATTTACATTCGCGTCTACTTCAACCACATCATAAGTATATTCATTAAAATTTTAAGTGTAAACGGTTTTAAATTGTTTTATAATATCTATATAATGGTTTAAAACCAATATGACATTAAAATTCGGACTTTGGTTATTATATTTTTGTCTAGTCACTAGCCCACTGTACAGTGTCTAAGTAAGAATATTGTGTATCAAGCTACTATTTCATACAACAAACTAGATTACACAGAAAAAGTTTATATTGGTATTAGTGAGACTCCTTTCAAGGTAAGGTATGCAAACCATTTAAAATCTTTTAATTTAATTAAGTACAGCAATGATACGGAATTATCTAATAAAATTTGAAAACTTAAAGAAGAAAACTTTTCCTTTGTTACTAAGTGGAAAGTGCTGCCAAACATATAACCTTTCGTCCAAAATTTCCAACCTTTGTCTTAATAAAAAGTTTTATATTTTAATGCATACAGAGGAAAATCTGCTGAACAAAAGGAAGAAGTTGGTTTCAAATTGTAGACATAAAAATAAATTTCTTCTTTTGTTTTATGATTATGGTGATTAGCTGATTTATATACAATTTTCTTAAGGGTTTTCTTGTTTTGTCTCCATAGAGACATCAGATGTTGCTCCACCGTATTTTGTAATTTTATTTACTGTTTTTTGTTTGTTTTTGATATAGTACATGGCTGATGATTGTCTTATAGGCATGAGACTTATAGTTCCATAAAAAGTTGTATTTTTCTCTATGTAAATAAAAAAAATGTATATACACCGCTCTATTTAGATAGTTGTTTACTTTCTTTATTATTGAGCACTATAACCCAAAATAGAGTTTTGTATTATTATTGTAAATATATATATATATATATATATATATATATATATATATATATATATATATAATTTTTTGATAAAAAAACAACAACAAAAAATGTCTTAAACTTGTATAATAAAAGTAATTCGCGACAATTTTTAAAGAAATGTATATAATTTTATTGTACATTACATATAATGAAAAGAAATTAGGATTTGTAAAGTTTAAGTATTTTTAAAGTTTTAGCTGTATTAGTACTTAATTGGCCATCCTTTGTTTCTTATAACTTCTAGAAGGCATACTATCTATCTAAGTCTTTTTAATAAGTCATTTGGGAAAGCATTCCAACCAGCAAGAGGAAGTTGGAATAGTTCAACTTCATTTGTTGCCCTACAATCTTGAAATTTTCGATTCAATATAGACAGAAGATTTTCTATTGGATTTAAATCAGGAGACTGTGCTGCCAAGACATAACTAGTATCAAATTTGATTCCAGATATCTTTTATTCAACTGTGTTGTATGTTTAGCATTGTTATCTTGTTGAAAGATGTAGTCTTTATTAAGGAAAAGTACTTCTATACTTGGTCCAAGTATAGAAATAAATATAGTTAAAAAAATAGTTATAAAAAAAAAATAGCTTTGTAATAAATAACTAAAACAAAAATAAAAAAAAATAAAAAACAAAACTTAACTAAAATAAATAATAAACAATAAGATAATTATGTTTGAAATAAATAACTTTGAATATTTATGTTTTTATAATGTAAAACTAGCAGTTTCTTGTCTGCTTTGTTACCGCACCATATAAAATTATATTATTAGTAAAAAAAATATAATAATAAATAGTAATACTAATCAACAAAAAAATGTAAATAAACACTTTTATAATAAATTTCATTGCGCATTAGTGGTATTTTTAAAAAAACGATTTAACTTAACGAGGAAACTTTTTAATAAGGCTTTTTTTTTTTGGGGGGGGGGGGACGCGATTCACAAAAATGAAGATATAGACATGCAAAACCCTTTTAAACAAAGTAATAACTTCAAACAATTTTTTAATAAATATGCACATTTAACAAATAAATACGCACATTTTGCAACAAAAAAACAACTTTACAATTCAAAAAATATAATTATATATCCTTTTTTTAAAAATTGAGTGTATTAACTTTAATCAATAATTTTTTTATTTAAAGATGAAAGAAAATTACATTAATACTTTAATACAAAAAAATTGTGAGTTGTTACTTTATTTAAAAGCGTTTTAAAAACATAAAAACATTGGATAGTTTAAACAAAATGGCTGTCTTTCACTCAAAAGTTTGTCTTTTTTTTCTTCTCAACAAAATGTTTTCGAGTGTATTAGCTTTAATGATTCTTAAATAAAGTTTTATTAAAGAAGCAAACGTTATTTAAGTCGTCGTTGTTAAAGTCGTCGCTTATAAAATTTGAATAATTAAAAAATAAATAAGAATAATTATAAAAAAATCTTATATGTTATATAATTTATTAATTATATAATCTTATATATTTAAATAATATAAATAAAAGCTTATATAACTTTCATCTATATTTTAAATTAAAATGTTAACAGTGACTGTTTCTTTATTTAAAAGCATTTCGCTAATATAAAAACAGTATTTCACATTTCTGGAAGTTTGAAGTCATTTCCATTTTTAATAGCTGTATCAAATGTTTACACCTTACAGATGTATGTGATGGGGTATCAAAGCCTCCCCCACCCCCTCACTTTCATAAAAAAACTTGAAATCAAAAAACTTATAAAAGTTTTTTTAAATTTTATAAAAATGCTACCTTATCTCTTCCTTAAATTCATTTACTTACTATACTGTCTGTAATCTATCATTTTTTATCAAGTTTGTGTAAACCAGGCTAACTCCCCATTGAGAACAAAACATAAATAAAAATAAATACTTATTTTTATTTTTATTTTTAAATAAGTATCAAATAGGTTTTTTACTATAAATTATATAGTTAGCAATTGATCAAATAATCTCTTATTTTGTTTACTCAGAAATTATTTAGCTTAAATAAGTTATTGCATTTTTAATAAGTAAGAGACAACAGAGCTATGTAAACTTTTTTCAGTTTACCAGGCACTTAAATATTCAATCTAGACATATGGGGTGCAACCCACATAAGTTTATACATTTCCTATTTTCCCTTAATAATTAAATAATTAATATACATGATACAATTACAGCAAATGGTTCTGATTTTTTTTAAGTGGAAATCTGGAAAATACTCCTCCAATCTTCTGGTGTTTCTGCTAGAAACTTTTGATTTGCAATGGTCATGTATCCAGCAAATAAATTTCAATTCAGTTTGATACACTTTACATTTGGTAGTTTAAAAATTATATAGCTTAGAGCATACATTATCACACCATTTATTGTCAACAGTTTCAATAAAAACAGTTAAAAGTATATGAGCAATAAAAAAATAAAATGGCAGTTGCCAGGAAAAGTGTTCATACTGATTAGGCATTTCAGAGTATTTTTTGGAAATCCAAGCAGATTACTTACTAATATATATATATATATATATATATATATATATATATATATATATATATATATATATATATATATATATATATATATATACATATGTATATATATATATATATATATATATATATATATATACATATATATATATATATATATATATATATATATATATATATATATATATATATATATATATATATATAAATTGTGTTAGTTTAATCTACAAATAGAGTGCTTTATGTTCTTAAAGAACAGAGAAATAATAAATTAGTAAAAACACTAATCTAATTTTTTTCTTCAACAATTTGATTCTCCATCAGTAGAAAAAATTAGATAAGTGTTTTTACTTTTATTAAAAAAGTAAAAACACTTATCTAATTTTTTCTAATTTTATTACAATTATTAAAAAATATATACATATGTATATATTTAAATGTAAAATTATTAATTTGATGAAGAGACTTTTCCAGGAGTCTCTATGCTGGTTTAACAGTTTATCGAAATCTGATCTTTAAATGCATATAAAGATGGAGCGTTTCCGCATGCTGTGTGAGAGAGTTCCAATGGACTGCAGTTCGGTTTGTGAAAAAGTTTGATCTCTCCTCACATCTATATATATATATATATATATATATATATATATATATATATATATATATATATATATATAATATATATATATATATATACATATATATATATATACATATATATATATATATATATATATATATATATATATATATATATATATACACAATATATATATGATGTCATACTGAAATAGCCTGCTGCTGGGGGCTTCAGTACATACATGGGCTGACAAATAGCCTGACTCACAGTGGAGTGCTGCTACATCGACTGAGGATTTGGGATGGGGAAGCAATCGTTTCATTTATCATTCTTCTTTTTTTCTTGTTTTTTGAAAAAAAACGGTATAGCTTAAGGTAAGCAGAAAAAGTGAGCAAATGCTTATCAAAACACGCTTTAGTAAGTGTATATATATATATATATATATATATATATATATATATATATATATATATATATATATATATATATACATATATGTATATATATATATATATATATATATATATATATATATATATATATATATATATGTTTATCAACAAATATAGATTGATCAGTAGGGGATTTTATTTCTTATTTAAGTATTAAAATTGTTCAGATCTAATAGTGTGCTTTCTAAGTTAAAAACTTTTTTTTGAAATTTAACTCAATGTGTAAAAGCAGGATTAATAAAAAAAACTAAAAATATCTGAATTTTTTTCTTTAATTTAGAATAAACACTTCAATGTTTGAACGCTTGATATGTGCTCCTAAAAACCATTCTGTACCCTCCAGTGTTCTCTCTACTCAGCGACGTATGCGAAAAAATATATGCGATTTAACAAGAAATTTTTATAATGAAATAGTAGACATTGAAGACCATAGTATTTGTAGTTCAAGAAAGATTGGAGATAGTAATGTGATAGCAGCGGATAGAAAATGGAGAGCAAATGTTAGTTTATTTGAAAAACTTAAAATGTGTATTGGAAAAGGCCGTGAGGTGCCAGGAGTTCTTCCACATATTTTTTTTTGGACACATGGTGGTACCCAAACAAAAGCCAGTGTCGGATTGTCACGAATTAATATCACTGAGGCGAAAATGGTTATTAGTTTAACTGGATATTTAGTTTCTTGTGGAGTTCCCAAAGCCTCTATAGCCATACTTACTCCATATAAAGGTCAATTAATGCTCATACGTTCAGATTTAATGAAGTTAAATCTATTGAACAATAAAGATGTTGCAGATTCAGTTGTTTTGTCTACTGTTGACAGATTTCAAGGAGATGAAGCTGATGTTGTAATAATTTCTCTTGTGATTGATGAAAAATCCCAAACAGGTTTTGTTAAAGAGGTAAATCGTATGATTGTTCTTTTAAGTCGTGCAAGACTTGGAATGTACATTATAGGAAATATAAATTATTTTGAAGGGAAACCAGATGAGTCTATTCGTCACTGGACTGATACTTTAACAAAACTTAAGGAACCTTGTGAATCTGATACAAGCAAAGAAACAGATTTAAATGTCAATGAACACCATTACTCTGGTCCACGTCTTGGGAATAAATTACCGATTTGTTGTCCAGTTCATAGAGGAAAAACAATTTATTATGCTGAATCTGTGCAACAACTAAATCTGAATTTCTGTCAAGAAATGTGCTCACATATGTTACCTTGTACCCATCCTTGTGGTATTCTTTGCCACTTTCTAAATAAGGATAATCACAATAATTTCTGCTCTGTACAAATCACTCCGCCTCCATGTGAAATTCACATGAAAGATTTGACTTGTCGTGATGTGTACCTAAACATTGGAAACATGTTTAATTTAGGAATTTCTGAAGCTCTTAAGTATTACAAATGTCCTGAAATAGTGTCTGTTCAACTTCCTTGTACTCATAACACTAAAATGAAATGTTGGGAAGAAAATGAAATAGCAGAAGGTAAAAGGAGTTACCCAGAATGCAAGCAATTAGCTCATAATCCTTATGTATATCAAAAATGTCGCCATGAGTTAACTGTACTTTGTCTTGTATATGATGAATACATGAAAGATCCATCTAAAGTTAAACAATGTAAATTTAATTTAACATATAACCCACCTTGTACCCATATAGTGACAATACCGTGTTATCTTAAACAGCAGTATGAAGATAGTTCTGTTAAGTTTCATTGCAATCAAAAAATGGACATAAATTTACCCAGATGTGGCCACAAAGCTAATGTGTCTTGTGATGTATCTCAAACTCTTAACAGTTGGTCTGGGGAATCAAGTAAAACAGGTAAACTTTATAATACAAAACAGGTAATCTTTATAACTGCAGTAATATTTTAATTCTCTATATGTAAAAGAATATAACAAAAAACATTTTACTAATATTACCAGGGTTAATGTTTTACTGGATTATTATGATACTTTTCTAATTAATCTGCATATTGATACAGTGCTAAATTTATTTAAGAAAACAAGGATAGAAGAATAATATATAATAAATCCGATGAATAACATGATATTAAATATTAATGTTAACTAAAGAAATATAAGCAATGCAAATCTAAAGTCTTAAAGGAATTAATATAGTTTTTTATAAGGCATTTATCAATACTAGAAAGTTGGTCAATTTTTTTTTATCTTGTCTTTTATTTCACAGATATAGATTTTATTATAAACAGGTTACACCTAGGAAATTTTGATATAATAAAAAACTAGCTGATTTAAAAAAAAAAAAAAAGTAAAAGCTTAATCATGGGGTTTATAACCTATATTAATGTTCTTAAACCTTTTTTAGATATTAACTAAGATTCACAATAGGCACTTACTAAAACTTTAGCAATGTTTCTTACTTTTTTGCTCCTAATATATTTTTCTTTAATACGATGCATTTTTTTTTTTAGTATGAGTGCTATATCTGGCCTTTTATAATCCATTTTCATAAATCCATTTTAATGGCCTTTTATAATCCACCAATGAGAGTTGAATAAAAATAGAATAGAAATATTGAAAATGAAAAAAATATCTCATTTGATAAAATCAAAGAATCAACATAAACTTAAAAAGATATTAGTAAAAAAAAAAGTTTGAGATGATTTTTTTTAGAAAAGCTTGAATTTACGAGCACAAAACATCTAATCCTTAGGCATAATAAAAAAAGAAAAGACCAAGACAAGTATGGTGGTTTTTTATCAATATTTGTATCCGTTTTAAAAATTTCCTTGATATCAGGTTTTACTTTGTTATCAGGCTTACAGCCCTTGAAATTAGGGTTGGCATTCACAATGCCAACCTAACTGCTAACCTTAAAGTGTTTGAGGTCGACAAAAAATTGCCAACCTTGTTTGTATGTTTTATGGTAACCCCTTTTTGTCAAATTGTTTTTGTCAACCTGATGCTGACATAATCCTTATACATAAAAAAAAAGAAATGACATTACCAAGACAGATAAGGATGGTGGCTTTTTACCAATATTTGTATCTGTTTTATAAATTTCTTTGATATCATTTTATAAATATCTTTGATACATAACCCATTTGTGTCAAATGATATTTTGCTAACCTGATGCCGACCTCTAACAGTTTGAGGTCTGCAATAAGTTAATGATCTCATTTTTCCTAATTCCAAGTGTTAGACTTATAATAGTCAGAGGCATATCAAACCACAGAAATTCTGATGTTTTTGTTTTCTCCTTTAATGTTAACTCATCATCTAGCAAAGCTAGAGGTGTTTTCATTGAATCCAAAAATATTTATAATAGGACTCTAATACAGCATCAACAAAATATTGGGTTTGTACATACATTCTTGTTCAGATGCTTTTAAATTATGGCTGCAATGTCAAGAAAAAGAGCTTTGATGAGCATCCTCAGATTGTAGATACCACTTCACATAAAAGCAAACAATAAATTTTGTTATAAGCTTAATTTCAGTTTTTAATTTATCATTTTCCTGAACAAACATAATTTGATTGGATAGAAGTTGAAGCCTTAGATAATAAATTACTTTTCCTGAAAATCTTGCATGATAAAAAGCACCAGTTTTTCTTTTATAAAATTGTTTTATCGACATAAGCTCTGTAAAATGTCAACTACTTATTAGCTGTCTTTTTTAAAAGAAATTCAAATCATAACAGTTGAATTGGATTTTAACTGAAATTAGGTTCTTTAAAAATATTTTTTGAGCTTTTCAAAAAGAGGGTTATCAGATCCATTAGTTTTGCCAATCTCCTAGAATGAAGCATTCTTAATTCAGTCATATGATGCCTACAGGTTATTTGGAGGAGATATCCAGTTCTTTAGATATTCTGGACACTAATCCTTTGTCCCAGTATTGGATGGTGTTGTATCAAAGCATTAACAGTCCTATTGTTTTGATGTAAGTTGATACTCCTAAATTAAATTCATTACACCTAAGAACTGACCTTCACCAGTGGGTGACGCTAGGGGAGGTACTTCAAGTAGATAACATTTTTCCTTTGTTTACCTCAAACAAACCTAAACAAAGCTAAAAAAAATTTCATTTTGATGCAAATATCAAAGCTAAAGCATTGATCTTGCTATCAAAATGATACATGGATATGGAGAAGCATCACCTTATCATCTTCGTTTGTAATGATTGGCATGTTTTTATAACTTTTTTATTTTTCTATATGTTGTAGACTGGCTGCTCCTAACTTCTTTAAGATGAACACCTGATTGGTATAGAATTGTGTCTATTGTGATGTTGTGTTGTGTATAGAATTGTGTCTAGGTTGTGAACAGTTTTTCTTCCTGATGCTTTTTTTTTGTTTGTTTAATTTACAGAACAATTGTAGTTTTTGTTTTTAATTTTAGAATCAGTGAAAAAGAGAACAGAGGTTAAACTAGAGCTAAATTATTTAATTTAAAAAAATTTGAAATAGAAAGGTTTAGACATTTTTAAATATATAATTTAGCAACCAATAATCTAATAATTTTAGTATTAACAAAAATATTTCTACCTGATATACCTGGTTTTGGCTCTTTTATAACAAATTGACCTAATTCATTAACCTAAGTCATGCTTCACTTATATAATATGTTGATTGTTTGTACTAATCTTAAATTACTAGAAAAATCAAAAATCATAAACTATCAGAAGTTGCATCAAAATATAAATGTATAAAAATTGAAATAACGAAAAAATTTCATAAAATTAACAGTTTTCACAATTTTCAGCACCAAATATTTTTAATGGTTAGTAAAAAAACCATATATTTTGAAACAAAAATAAAAGCCTATATATACATATATATATAGTAGAAAAAAAAAATTGAATAAAAATTACCCCTTCCTCAAGATGCCTGAAAATGACTACTTTTCTGTCATTTTTTCATAAATTATTGGTTTGAGGGGGTGGTTAAAATCGGTCTGATAAGATGGAGTCATATGTGTAAATAACTTTTAAATAATATTTTATATAAAAAAAACAAAAAACAAATCACTTCATAAATTCTTCAAAAAAACTTCAAAACACTTCAAAAAAAGCTAATATAACATTAAGTCGTATATATATTTTTAATTTTTGTAGTTTTTAAGTGTTTAAAATAATATATTACATCTTTCATGCCTATAGTTAATTTTTTATTTTACTGGGTTAGTTCACTCCTTTAATTTACTATTTAATTTTTGTGTTTCATCTAAATCTCAGGCATGATGTTGACTCACTCACTTAGTTGCTATTTTTATGTTTTCTCTGTTGTGGTGTTCACTCATGTAAGTTACTATATGTATGTTTGTGTTCTGTCTGAATTTCTGGTGTAGTGTTTATTTGCTGGTAAGTTACTCTATGTATGTTTATGTTTTGTCTGAATCTCTGGCTTGGTGTTTACTCACCCATAAGTTATTATATATTTATGTTTATGTTTAAATCTTATGTTGTGCTTAAATCTCTGTTGCAGTGTGAGATCTGTTACCAAATAGTGACTCCAACTATAAAACTTACACCCACCGTAATCTCTAGTATTCTATCAGATGTAATGTTTTTCCCAATGCTTTACCAAAATTTAATGTCAATTTTTGAATGTACTGCTTACAGAAAATAACTTCTTTAAATACTTCAGTTAAACTATGTCAGTTAAGGTTCACACTCATCAAGATCACCCTATTACTGGTATAATGTAACTCAGCAATACCTGCCTCATGCCCTGCTGCCTTGTTGGGTTTGCTTTTTTATGCAAAAACTATGAGGAATAAACTCTGAATTAAAATTTCCATACTTTGGGGCTCTTGGTTGAACTGTGTAAATAAAAATATCCATCTTGGGCAGATGCAATGCGATGAATGAGTACGGCGTGCTTCTTTGGACTCACTCTATCCTTGCACTGTTTACTACAACTGTAAAGCTGACTGGAATTCTTTTTGCAATTTTTTTGTGACAGTCCTTGGGCTAATTTCTTTTCTCTTTCTTTTTATCTCTAGTTCCATAAACTAAAACTCATTTTTGCTTGACTTGTCATTCGTCACATCCTTTTACTGCATCAGTCTCTGCATGCTCTAAAAACTTTTATTTATCTAGTTTTTCTTTCTACACTTTAACTCTATGAAACTCTCTCCTATCTTCATATTTTCCTGACTCATACAACCTACAACTTTTTGAGTTTTCTGTTTTTCTTTTGACTTTTTCAAGTCAATCGCTTTCCTTACTCTTTAAATCTATTTTTTGTTTTCTAGTTACTCCCAACTTAATAGCAGTTATTTAATAATCATTTTGGGAGTGAATTAAAATTGTATATATAAATATATATATACATATATATATATATATATATATATATATATATATATATATATATATATATATATATATATATATATATATACTATATATATATATATATATATATATATATATATATATATATATATATATATATATATATATACATATATCAGGGGCTATTTGGGTGTCGATTTGGGTGCTGAATTGGGCGCCTCCCAAATTAAAATTGAGGCTCTTTTCTTTTCTTTTTTTTTAATTACGTAATAATAATTAATTAATAATTTTTTTAAGTAGATAATACTACAGTGATGAGTTCTTTTAATGCTAATTTAGAAAACAAAACAGATGCTAGTTGTTCTCTGAGCTGTTGTCCGGTGTCTAAAGCTGTTTTTTATGAACTTAAACATGATGAATTTGTTGCTTTCAATCAAGAGGAATCTATAAACAACAGTATTTCAACTTGAACAAGAGACAATTATTTTAGCCGATTATAACTAACAATTTTATCAAGGATTATCTTGTTAAGGGGGCGTTAAGGATTATCTTGTTA